CATGCTGTCGAGCCTTGTTGATGAGCAGCCTGCCACAAAACAGCCGCTGGGCATGGGTGCACAGGACGAGGGCCAAGATCCTAAGCCATGCGCGGCACCCCAAGCTGGCAACAAAGCGCATACAGCTTCGCCTTTCGGTTTTCGGTAGGGAAGGGCACAAAAAGATATTTCTCTGCGGTTTCGGTCCTGTTTTTAAGATGCACCTCGTGGGCGCACAAGACTCAGCGGCCCCGCGAGCCTCTACAGGGGCCAGGGGCAAAGAGTAGCACTTACCAAAACCATGTTCGCAACGCGGCGGAGTTTACCCCTGCGTTTCCGATGGTGGCCAACGCCCCGCGCAATGAACAATTGAATGATCCAGAAACCACCACCTGGCTCAAAGCTTGAGCCGCGATATTTCAATCCTTTAAGCTGTCCGACAGAGGCTTTGCATGTTTGACATCAATGCTCCTGAGCTCCCCAGCCGCTGGTGGGCTTGGCCTCGGACTCTTCACAGGGAAATTTGCCCTGCTTAACCCCCGCAGACGTGGAAGACTCCATGGCGCAAAAGGCTCGTAGAGACCGAAGCCATCACAGAACAACATGGGGAGATCACAGGACCAACATGATTGCACAGGCAGCATGTGCAACTGAGGTGTGCATAACGTCTGCATGCAGCAATTCCAAGGAGTTGCACTTGGACCCCGCAAAACCCACCTGATATGACCATAGCTCAAAGACTTCTCGTAGTGCCGTCCCGTCATTCTAAACTAGAGCCATCTTTCGGTTTGGAAAAGGAACTTGTGAGCCTAGATGGTAGCAAAACAAAACGGGAACCAATGCGGCTGGATCCCCGTGCGCTTTCATATCTTTCGTTCGTGGGGTAGCTCTGCGACCCAAGCCCCCCAATCACCTGCTGCCCAGGGCACCCTCGGGGCACAGACCTCAGAAACTGCGAGGTCGCTTTAGAAGATCCACAAGCCAAAAGTCAAAAAGGCAGCTAAGCAAGGGCTCCCTGTAAGCAAACTGATGCATGCTCTACTCCCGGAATTCGCTCGATGCCTCCTGAAATACGCATCCCAGTTACTCCGCACAAGCAGGTCAGCCAAGACAAAACACTGCCAACGGCCGTCAGGCCGAGAAGAAAACGTTACCATGCCAGCCCTCAGAAGCGGCAACTCCTCCGGAAAGGCACATGTTCTGGCCTGGAATTCGTAAGCAACTTCTCCCTGCTACAAAGGAATTCTCCGTTTCAAGGAGCCTCTCTCAAGATCTCGCCAAGGCACACCGCGCGCGTTCGCACGAGCCCTGGCAGGTGAGCAGTTTCGATCAAGAATCTTTGCAACTGGGCCGGGCTGAACGTCGGGCCATGACGGCCTCCAGTGTTTCAGTCATTCCCTTCGGATCATATTTGCCGGCAAGGAAGTAGATCATAATTAGTGGAACCATGCGGGGAGAAGGAGGGTTAAGGGCCGCGTCTGGCATTGCAAATGCAAATCGCTGAATGCTTGCACATAACCCAAGCTCTGAATCTTGAGGACTTTGGGTTTCCCGCCTGGGCCGACCGGGTGCGCCATGATGACATGAGAGGCGGCAAGTGCTTAAAGAGGTTAGCAGCTTTGCGCATGCGTTGTCTTGACTGGGCGACAGTGTCTATGATCAGGGTTGCAGCCAACATTTCGTACCAATGCCCACGACGTTGTTTAGTCACATTTCTGCCTGCCATGGGAGAGGACTGAGTGCTAAGCTCCGTCGAGTGCAAGCAGTCGTAATGCCGGATGCTGTCTTGCTGGATACTTCTTGCACACGTGGCGCGCCTTCAAACTCGGGGCGTGTGGCTTTGCACGCTGGCGGGGCCAAAGACGGCGACCCACTGAGTTGCAGGTCTCAAGCTCAAGCTCAGAAAGGGCGTTAGGATGGCATGGATCAATCCCGACTGAACAGGGGCACGATGTTCAGTAGGAGAGAACGGGAGCTCTGAGTTGAGAGCTGGTCCTCGCAAATCTAGAATGGTCTTTTCTGCTCTGCACTGGGGCTTTCCCTGTCGGGCTCAACCAATTACCTGGCGCTTGCACCTGCTCCAGTCGCATCCTGGCATGTGTCGTACACCCCTGTGCATGCACACTCACAAGCGAATGGGACAAAAGTGCAAAGCCATCAAGGAGCTAAAGGGCATGCAGCAGTCGGCTCATTTGTTCTGCCAGGCGAGGTGTTCCTCAAGGTTGGACAGCACCTTGTGTGCTGGAGTGGCTTCTTGCCAAGCATTTGGCTTGGCACAATGTGGCAGCTAAGTCGAGTCAAAACGGACGCGCGCCTCTTTTCCATTCGTACTGAGTCAACACAGTCCCTGAGTCTCAGCCCGGCAAACATTGAACCCTGCTTTCACAAAACAAATGCACGCGCACATCCGCAGCTTGGTCTCACTGAATTTGCCATTGGACAAATCCTGTCATCATCGAATCTGGCTTCATGGCTAACGCAAAGGGCCTTCTCCCAAAACTTGGGGCATGTCGCATGCAAATGCGCCCCTTGGGCCTGGCCGCACGGGCACTAGCGAGTCACCTAGCACCGCATGTGCCCTATGCAATGGGAATTCACGCCTCCAGCAGTCCCAGCATGCGGATGGGTTCACATGGCTATCACACCTCCAAATGTTTGGATCCTGTTAGGGGTCCAATGCGCCTGCACTGTCTGTGGGTCTTTGTACGTACCCCTTTTATGCCCTTCGCGGTCAACCATCGTGGGCGCCAATGTCGGATTCTATACGTGTTTTGCTCTTCATGACCCGTCCATCCATGCTCCCAAAATCGACCTGTTCAGAAGGATGTCAGCCTTCTGGTCTGATAGAAGCAATTGCTAAGCTGCTAAGCTGGTAGATGAAACCTGCCATGGCTGCCGGGAAGCTGCTCGTGGCTCTGGGAGCAGGCCGAATTGGAACTTCTTTGAGTTTGGTGCATGCACGAAGACTGTAAGCAGACTGATAGAATGGAAACACAGCCCACAAGGATGACGAGATGCTTCGGAGATGGCCCAAAATTGACATTTTGAGCCCTGACAGTTGGTGCCCACGCGGTACACATACACAGGGCCATAGGGAGCAGCAAATCCACATCTGACAAGAAACCGGGCCTACGGAAGTGTTGAGTGTTGCTGAGCGTCGGCACATCTCGTGTCATCAAGGGCTGCAGAGGCGGTGGAAAGCACCGCAAATTTCCAGCATCAGGCAGCCTCTCTCACTAGACAGCCCCGCCTCTTGCGGGAGAGAGACATAACCCCAGTTGCAACTGAGGTGCTGCAGGGATCGCATGAAAGGCTCGGTGCCTCTTTTTTATTGCCCGGCGGCCGGGCAAACAGGGACAAAATGACTCGGGTTGCTGTTTGTCTCAAGGAGGACTAACCAGCCAGTTCCAAAGGGGCCGAAATAGTTGCCACATCCCTGCTTTCTGCCCGACCCTGCTCATGATGCTTGCCTCCGACACCACTGCAGTGGCACTTTACAAGTTCCGGCTTGCGGGACAGGCGGCCAGTTATTGGCCTGGGTTCCTGGCCACCTGGCCACCCCGGAGGGGCGCCAAGTGAATAACTCACTGTCCAAAGGGTTTTAAATGATTAGACTTGCCCAACATAAGCTCTTGTCATTGTAACATTGAGCGTCATCTGCGAAGTGCACGCAAAAACTCTTTGCGCGCAGGGTGCGCTGACCGACTGACTGACTGACTGACTGACTGACTGACTGGCTGACTGACTGGCTGACTGACTGAGTGACTGACTGGCTGGCTGACTGACTGAGTGACTGACTGGCTGAGTGGCTGGCTGACTGACTGACTGACTGGCTGGCTGACTGAGTGACTGACTGGCTGGCTGACTGACTGAGTGACTGACTGGCTGGCTGACTGACTGACTGAGTGACTGACTGGCTGGCTGGCTGCCTGCCTGGCTGACTGATTGAGACACTGCCGCGCGCAAACAGCTAGAACTGTGCATGCCTCAAAATATACGCGACAATGACTCATGGAATCTGCGCTACCCACCAGGTCCAGAGCTGACGCTTTGCTTGTCGTGCGGGGCATGCTGTACTCTCATCCGCCTCGCGGGCTGGCGCACAACGCTAGGCAACAAAGAGCGTGCGCTTGGGCAAAGCAGCATCACGCGGACCCTAATCATACAGCGTTGTTCCGTTTAATTTCGCCGCACAATTGTACTGCGCACATGCAACTACCCGCACCTTGCAAGCTAAGCTTCAGCTTCATGATTATGAATGCCCGAAAGCCCTGAATGTGTGTGTGTGTGTGTGTGTGTGTGTGTGTGTGTGTGTGTGTGTGTGTGTGTGTGTGTGTGTGTGTGTGTGTGTGTGTGTGTGTGTGTGTGTGTGTGTGTGTGTGTGTGTGTGTGTGTGTGTGTGTGTGTGTGTGTGTGTGTGTGTGTGTGTGTGTGTGTGTGTGTGTGTGTGTGTGTGTGTGTGTGTGTGTGTGTGTGTGTGTGTGTGTGTGTGTGTGTGTGTGTGTGTGTGTGTGTGTGTGTGTGTGTGTGTGTGTGTGTGTGTGTGTGTGTGTGTGTGTGTGTGTGTGTGTGTGTGTGTGTGTGTGTGTGTGTGTGTGTGTGTGTGTGTGTGTGTGTGTGTGTGTGTGTGTGTGTGTGTGTGTGTGTGTGTGTGTGTGTGTGTGTGTGTGTGTGTGTGTGTGTGTCTGCGTCGTCATCAATTTGGGTGATCATGAGTGGCAATGCACAATGGCCCGAGATGCCCCACGCATATCCGATTGCGCCGTGCACGCCTGTTCACACTTTGAAAGAGAAATAAGACATTCATTCCGACGCGAACTCATCATGCAACGTGCACATTCACACACGCATGCGCCCTGATGCGCCCTTTCATGCAGTCTTTGTGTAACGCGCGCGCAGGGCATATCCGACAGACTGGGCACCTCCACACGTCTCATCAGAAAACAATGCCGTTTCAGCACAGCGGATGCGAGATCTGCCGTGGTCACATGGACACGGAACTGGAAACAACCAATTATTTGGCCAAGGTCGCTGATGTGGTCATCAAAACCTCGATTTCCTTCGGACAAATCAGATTCACAATTCATCGAGGTGTCAGCTGTTGCGCGAGGACTCACTTGTCGTGGCCTGCCCAGCTGCAATTGCGAGGACGGCTCGCCCACAAAGATGACAGGCGGAGGTATGGACTCATGGGGCTTGAGGGGCAAGCCAGGCTCAGCTCAAAGGAGTTAAAGTGGCAAAGTGCTTCTTACCTTAAGGTTCAACCTCACTGCCTCGAATCAAAATCCGTAAGACAAGCCTGGCGGCCAATCGACCTTCGCGTGGGCCAAAAAAAGGCTCAAAGGACAGACTCCGCACAGGCTACGGTGGATGTCCGACAGGCATGACTAAAGAACAAGTCAAGTGCAAAAGAACTGCGCATGCGCTGCAGTGGCCCTGCCTCTGGAATGGCGGTCATTGCAACAGGCGGCTGCTCTGAGTCTTGATGCTGCATGATGGCCTGGAAGGGCCCAAAGTGCACTGGAAGGCACTACCAGGCCCGTGCTGAATTCTTCGCCATATTCCCACTGAGATCGCCAGAACTAGATGACCAGACTGAGTAGGCGGTTCACATACAAAAGCAACACTTGTGGAATGCCAACCTCACCATGGTGCCGCTAAATCGGCTCTTCCCATCGCATCTATCTCATCACCGGGAGTGGGCCTCTCCAGTGTGCAGGAAGCAGAAGGACAGGACAAAGAACGGGATGCTGACCTTGGCAGCACGGGCTACTTCCGCCCGAGGCGGCTGTTTGTGGGGGAGCTCAGTAGCCCCAAGACGAGGCACACATTGATCCATGCAGATTTTGTCATGTGGGATGGCTTCGGTTTCACAGATCACAGAGACACTCAGACACACTCCTTATCCGAATTGGCTCAGGCCCTCAGGGCCCAGCCACCACCAGCAGGGTGGAGTCCATGGCCACCACTACAGTCCTCAGCCGGAGGCCGCGGACCACGGCCCCTTTGGTTTGGTTGCTCTTAGGACACATGGCAAGTGACCCTTCATTGGCCACTACCGAATGGAATTTTCGGGAATGGTCGGGAAGTATTTTCCCATGTCCCTGCTAGGAACGCTCAAGTTGTGGGACAGGCGCTCCAAGGACATGCCAGGCATGCCAGACCAGGACAATGCCCACATCCACGTCCTCTGCCCCTCTGCAGCCTCTTTTCTTACAAAGGTCTCAGTATTGTGCCAAGGCGCATGAAATCGTCAGGCGAACTTTTGACCAGGAGGCTACCTGGAAGCTGGGGCAAAGCCTCGTGAGCCCTAGGAAACTGCCCTTCAAGGGGACAGAACAAAAGCCCGCTATGTTTCGCCAGTCTTAGGTTGAAGCTTGAGGCATGCGATCGAGCTAGCAACAACACAGCCCTGGCGAAATGGCAACGAGAACGAGTTACGCACACTCATGGGCCAAACGTCGAACTCTCACAACCCTGCAGTTGAATACTTACCATAAATTCGGCATGCCCTCTTGGCCAGGTGCGTACTTCAGTAACCCAAAGCCTCCAACATGCAAAACCCCTCATCGCAAAACACATCAGTGCATTTCAGAAACTGCAATGCACGGGAGGACGAAAGCAATGTCTTGCTTGATCACTGCCTGCATCGATGAGCAGGAGGCACAGCAGCAAGAAGGAAAATCCTCCCGGGTCGCTCAATACGCATGTTGTGCCAAGCAATCAGCCCAAAACTGCCCAAGCTGAAAGGCAGCACCATGTTTCTGGCCAAAATCTCCAACCTTCTGACGAACCATGCCACGGGCAACCGGCGGGGGGATCACTTTGGTCGCAGTTTTTGGATCACTTTGGTCGCAGCTGAAATCCACTCACTTTGGTCGTAGTTTGAGCATTTGCGGATCACTTCTGTCGCAATTTTTGGATCACTTCAGGCGCAGTGGAAGGTAGCTTTTTGAGCACTAACAACAGGACACACGCAAAGGGTGTTGCCTCTCAAACACCTAACAACAAGACATGCCGCGTGGGGTGGGGTCGACAAGGATGTTGCCTCTCAAACACCTAACAACAAGACATGCCGGGTGGGGTGGGGTCGACAAGGATGTTGCCTCTCAAACACCTACCAGCAAGACATGCCGGGCGGGGTGGGGTCGACAAGGATGTTGCCTCTCAAACACCTAACAACAAGACATGCCGGGCGGGGTGGGGTCGACAAGGATGTTGCCTCTCAAACACCTAACAACAAGACATGCCGGGCGGGGTGGGGTCGACAAGGATGTTGCCTCTCAAACACCTAACAACAAGACATGCCGGGTGGGGTGGGGTCGACAAGGATGTTGCCTCTCAAACACCATAGTCAACGGCGAAGAAACTAGGACCGAAGCGAGTAAGGAAACTAGGACCGAAGCGAGATGAAAACTAGGACCGAAGCGAGCCAGCAACTAGGACCGAAGCGAACCCGCGACCTCTGCAACCTGCCACGGGCAACCACAACCGCAACCCGTCTCCCAACAGGCGCAACCCCAGCCAGCGCGCGAGCTGAAAGAATGCCAAGTGCCACCAACTTAGCACTTGGGTGGTGGCCATGCCGCACTTTCAAAACAGACGGCCGCGTCCCGCGCACCTAAGGCGCCCAAGATCTCCATCTGTTCGCTCTGGAGCAGCATGGCAGCGATCACTACCTCAGAATGTCACAGCCCTTCCTGTACAGATCGGCTACCCTAACCACAAGCAAGAGGCAGTGGCACTAACTCGACAAAGCGCGTCGATTGAAGAACGGTTACACCCCAGCAAGTACACGTAGAATACATGATGCACGGGGAGCAGGTGCCCAGATTTGGCCTGCGCTGAGCCACTGCAAAAGGGCAGTCTCTGCGCAACTGGAAGGGTGCCATCATGCCGCGTAACAAAGGGAGGCAATTCTCTATGATCTATGAGCTATAAAGCTTGCCGGCCAACACGAAGTGAGGCCAGGGCGAAACAGCACGGCGGAAAAATCATTAGGATGCACAGAAACAAGGGCCAATAACAGTGGATCAGGTGCATGTAAGAGCCTGTGGCTTGACACTTGGTCTCCCAAAAAAAACTGCCTAAGGCCCCAAGGCCAACTGTTGGGCCTGATGGTCGAAACACTCAACTACCCCGAGGTATGTCTGTGGCAACTCGAGTGTCCTGGCCTGTTTGATTCATGCCGCCTGCTGGCTTTGCAAGAGGGTTTGAGGCCGACAGAACACGCAGGGAAAAGACACCATGCTGCATGAGTCCAAGGTTGGGCCTTCTTTGCAACTTTGGACCTGCCCGCAGCAAAGCCACAACATGTATTCTGCTTCTCGCAACGGACATCGGCTCGGTCTCCGGTGAATGCATCCAGGGCGCATCGAGGGAGCTGCCAATAAACCAGCCCAGGCCCAGCAATCCGGAGATCAGGTGCGTACCCTTCATCTTCTCCTCCGTGTTCACGAGGATGGCCGACACCACCTGCCGAGCTGCCAAGCTATCAAGATGACAAGTGGACAGGCTAACAATCCAACAAGGCTCTACACTATATTCGTTGGTTGTGCTGGAGCTTCCGTCGCATAAGTGGGAAGCTGTTCACCTGAATTCATACGATCCTTTCGTTTCCTTTCAAGACCAGACCTTTGGGCCAAGCCAGGGGCCCTCCAGGCGGCTGGCTTCCGCCAGTTAACGCCATCCCACAGTGAGGGCGCGTCATCCCTGTTCTCCCCTGTCTTCAGCGCAAGTCTGCGCATTTCCCCTCCGAGCCACCGTGGAAAAGCACATGGTGAAGGCCAGGATCCCCATGATCCTCAGGCCCAACGCGACGTCCAGGCATTCCCTTTGCTAATTTTGGCAGGGAGGTGACCCTGGCCTAGGCAAGCAAACGAGGGCTGGTTCGACCTCAGTGTGCCCTCCTAGCTTGCGGCAAACAACGTTCCAACCAGCTTTGGCTAAGATATCAGTTGGAAAGGGGCCAAGAGAAGGCAGCTAAAGTTGCATGAGCTTGGGCATCACGGTGTGGCACGCTGTTGGTCAAAACACGTTGAGAGCTTGGGCAAATTTGCATGACCCAACGGTGAGCGACTGCCAAGAACCCTTCTAAACACAAGGCCTGGGGCTGGAGCAAAGGCATTCAGACAATCAATTCCACAAGCAGCTTCCTGCAAAATGCTGCCCGGCGGCTGAAAATGCAGGGAGACTCCCGCATGCAACACGCGTGTCCTTGCATGGCTTCATCAAGCAGCACTAGCGCCGCATCTACACTAATGAAGCATGCAGGGCCACAGTCAAACGTCCAACAAACCAACCCAACCCAACCAACAATCCAATCCGAATGAATGAATGAATCAATCAATCGACCGACCGACCGACCAACCAAACCAACCAAACCAAACCAACCAACCAACCAACCAACCAACCAACCAACCAACCAACCAACCAACCAACCAACCAACCAACCACCCAACCAACCAACCAGCAAACCAACCAACCAACAAGCAAACAAAGCAAACAAGCAAGCAAGCAAACAAACAAAACAAAACAAACAAAAACGAAAGCCCACAAACGCAGCAATCCACCAAAAAAAACACAAACCTGCAACCCTTTCAACATGCATATCAAAGATGTGCCATGAATGAGCAAGGCCTTTGTCAAGCTTGGCGCTGCCGAGGTGCATCCCCCAAAACAGGCCAGACATGAGCGTTGTCAGGCCGAGCAGCCTAGGCAAGAACCAACGGCGCGGGCACCTTGTCACCAAGCATAGCTCAGCCGTATCTCTGGCGGTTGGACGCTTCTTTTGGGGGGGGGGGGGGGAGAATTCCTAATAACTTTGGCCATACGTAGCAGGGCAGGGGGTCCGAAAGCATCCGACCCCAGAGATACAGCTGAGTTGCGGGGCAATGGCCATCTCAGAGCACAAAGGCAACGCAGCACCTCAAACACTCCAACTCCGAGGCATGCGTTTACATCAACACACGGCACAGGCTTAAGGAAGCGCCCTGCGGCCAGCTGGCAAAACAGAACCCAAGACATTGAGTCGTGCACCCATCCTGCGCAAAACGCAAAGCATGACCCAGTAGCCTCACCTGGCACGCCTCAAGCCCTCGGCAGGCAAGGCCGTGCAATGGCGATCCTTGCAATGCAAGCAGCGCGTAGTTCAAAGGGAATCGATCCTGGGCATGGGCTACCCCGCACCTGCAACCTAACCTTTGGTCCGCGCGAGCTTTAAAATGTCGCTCGGCTTTGTGCATGGCAAGAATTTGCTGGACGCCCACGCAGGCAGGCAGTCAGACTTAAGAATATCTCTCAACACTTGAGTTTCTTCTGCCCCTACTAAGCGAGCCCAAGCCAAAACAGTTTAAACACGGGGAGTCACTCTTTGGGAGCCTGCGTCAACTCGACCAAGCAAGCCAGCCTTCCTGCCTGCTAACCCTTGCTGAGCCGTATGTTGACCATTGACCACTCTGGCGGAAGACAATAAGCATTCACCGAGACCCTGGCCCGTTGTTTGCTCTCTTACCTACCCTGGGAAGACAACACGCACATCTCTCCCCGTGTGGCGCCAAACGCCCTTTGCAAAAGTTTACCTGTCGAACCAGGTAAGAGAGGGAACAAACAGGAAACTCTACGGAAACGGTGTTCGCTTCCCTTTGTAACAGCAACCTAGAGGGGTTCCCCCCAAAAAAAGGACAAGCCCAAACATTGAGAGAAAAGAACCTATCGAGAAAGAACACCTCTCCCGAGGGTCCTTGAGGCATTGGAGCGCCACCACACACCCCAAGTTCAGGAGGCCCAGGCAGTAAAAGACCACCTCCCAAGCAAAAAGGCGGCCAGACCATGGGCGTCTTTCGGCACCATGGCATGCCGACAGCAAGAGGAAACTCACACGTCGAGAGAGAAAACCATGCATTTCCAAGAAGACCTCCTTCTCGCAACAGCATTGAAGGGGCACACGTCGCAAAGAGATCCCAAAATCAAATCCCACCACAGCCAATCAAGTGACTGGTTGATCAAAGCCAAACGTCAAAGGGGTGGCAGCGTGCCCGCATTGGTCGATCGAGAAGGTCCTACCTCCGGCAAACCGTGCCGCGAGTTCGGCCCAGCCGTGGGACGGAAGTGACCCGGGCCTTGTAGACAATATCGTCCATGCCATCGGGGGGCACCATGGCACGAAGCGCAACGCAGTCCACCAAGACCTAGCCGGCCAGCACAACAAAGGAAATCCAACGCCCGGTGTTTTTTTCGGGCTGGCTCCTGTATATTACGACTGCAAGCAGTGGTTTACAGAATGTGTTTATCAACAGGGCTCCCCCGTCTTGGATCCAAACAGTCGAATCAGGCACGTGGAATCTGTTGTTTCTGTTGAAAGGTGGGATCTACCTAAAAGTCAGCACGGGCAGCAGCTTGTTTTTCTTGAGCCATTGTCATGTCAGTATGCCATTACCTATCAACACCCCCCGCTTTGCAGAGGTGCGTTGGTGAGAACAGTACTTTGTACACGTTTCTCCCCCCCATGCCTGAAGCAAAGTCCTCTGAGGTCAAGGCAGTGAAGACGTAGAGCCTCAGTGGGATAGGTGGCAAGCCATGGTGATATGAGGCCTCATGCGTCAATGGTCGCTGCAACTGCGATGCATTTGGACTTTTGCAGGAGCGTGCCATCCGAATCGGCCGACCACGACTTCCGTCGGGCAAAACACATGTGATTTCCATGTGAATGCTTGAAACTGAATTCACACTGTTGCCATCAGCGAAGGTGATCTCACGACCACAGCTTCCGCTGGGCAATACTGAAATGACATCCGGTGGTGGCGGCCGTGGATTGACCTACGGCCGCAGCTTCCGCCGGGCGTGCAAACTTGGCACTGCTAATGTTGCGGCATCAATGGATGAAAGATAATAGTTTTGAACATGACATCACCAATGAAATTGAAATGGTTACCGCAACATAAGCAAACTTTTGTAATTGATGCGGGCGCTCACCATCCCCACGGGCCCTGACGCCATTGATGCCATCCAGAGGACCACCCGTACCAAGAGCTCCAGTCCTGACGCCCCGTGCTCTTGCCTTTGCCCTTGCCCTTTCCTTTGGTGTAGGGCTCGGGGCGAATGGACCGGGTGATCGCCCTCCATTGGGTGTTCCTCGCCTCAACAGGATAGGTCCGCGTCCGGCCGGAGGAAAACCGCGGGATTTCGAGTTCACCGGTGCTGATGGTGCCCTGGGAGTCGAACTTGATCCAGGAGGCCCGAATGAAACTGACCATGACCTCCACAATCTTTTCGACGTTCCCTTCCGGGACGTATGAACCGCTGTGCCCGATGATAATCGGCACCTGGTTGCCCGGAATGAAGCGATAGGCACACATGACCGCAAACTGCATGATGCTGTAAAACCTCGCATGGTGTGCAATGAAAGCCTCCGTGGAAACGTTCAACTCATGGGGATCGCGTTTGTTGAGGCTGGGGATGAACACCAACTTCGTTCCGGTGTTCTGGGAACCGCCTCGCTCGCGTTCCTCCCTGGTACGGCCTGGGTCAGCGACAACCGCTCGGGCAATCCGGCCAAGGAAGTCAAGGCTCTCTGGGGTTAGCCCTTGCGTGGCGCAGTTGTATGCGTAGAATGGATCGACCGAGAGCCGGTCAGATACCTTCTCGCACCCCATCCCCAACGCCTTGGTTAGGTGCGTTTTGGCCGTCTTCCTGAGTGACGCTTCGACGGAGATTCCTCCCCGCTTCTCGCCTTCCTTGAAGTGATGCTTGGAACGGATCCACTTCCCTCCGCCACCTTGCAAATCCTCCAGGTAGAAAACCATGCCCTGGAGGGATGCTGTGTGCTCGAGGCGCACCACCTCAGTGGCGATGCGTGCGTCCGTCCAAGACACCATGTCTGACCGGCACTCCTGACACAACAGGTAGCCGTCGATCTGTTGGTTGTTGCACCTCCTGTTCCAGCATTTCACGACCGGTACCTTCATCATGGTCGTGAAGAGGAGGTCCTCCCAACGTGGCTCACTCTGGTAGCGGTTCCGGAGGTTGTTCCAGCCGCGACCATGCCCTTTCTCTCCCCTGGAGAGCTCGGGCACCCGTCGAAGGGTTGCAGGCGCAACCTGATATGTCGGGCCTGCAGGTCTCTCATTCGACTTCCCCTTCCGGGGAGCGAGCTCATCGACCGTCTCAATCTCGGTCACGGCACCCGGAAGCAATTTGCCGTTCTTCGTCCCCTCAACGACGGTCCGCCAATGCCTCCAGGCCTTCTCTGCGGTCAGGGTGTTTTCACTTCTGAAGAAGTTCGGATTGACGTCCTGAGGCCCAGGCGCAAGCTCGGTTGTCAGCGCCTCGCGATACCTTTTGCGAAGCTCAGGGTACGCACGATTGAAGTAGAGGAACTCATTCTTGCGGGTATGGAAAGCGTAAATAATATAGGCATTTCCAACCCAATCTGCAGACATAAACGCCTCATCGCTCGTGAAGAGTCGAATGCCGTCTTGCATCATGAGCTCAGTATCAAAAGCAATCGTGACGGGCCTTCCGGCTCGCGTTCCTGCCAGCTTCCTCATCTGCGCCTCCCAGGGTGGCGTGGGGTTGAAGTAGACGTGGGCTCTGCCAGTCGACTTCGGATAGCCCCCCGGGACCAGGCCGAACTTGAGGATACTCTCGGCCGACCTGAGGTCGCAGGTGTGGTAAAGGACTGCCGGAAAGCCTCGGCGCCACAGGTCAGTAAGTTCCGGATGCCGCACAGCCCTCGGGTAGTGGCCGTCAAGGTATTTCGCCGCGGTGAACTCCTCGTCGAAGGAATACAAACTTGTCAGGATCGCCTGCTCAGTGTATTTCCTTGTGAGCTCGTTGTGGTGTCCTTGCACGGCCCTCACTCGCAAAGCCTGATACGGCAATCCTTTCCAGGATGCTTTCTTAATGGAGGGGGCCCAACCATCACGCGGAATCTGCGGGTGTTATTGTTCCGGATGCAGATCATCACCTCCCAAGGCATGACATTGGCAATCCGGTCATTCAGATGCCTAACCAGCGCATCGAATTCCACCGACAGGTCAACTCCGCGAAACGGCGGGTGGGGCTTGCCGTCCTTGAATGCCCCTCCCCGGAGGAAATAGGACATTTTCTTCGAAATTGCGACCAGTCGGTAGTCGCGGTCCATGTTGACCTTCGGGACGTGCCCCATGTCCTCGACCTCAAGCCACTCGCTCTGCTCCTCGGCCGGGACGTTGGTATTGATCTTCCGGGTCTTTGCCCAGTCTTCCCAGAAGATCTTCTCTTGCTTAGGGTCCTTCTGCTTTTTCGACCGGGGTTCCCCCTCGGCGTTGCCTGGCGGCGCCTTGGCCTTTGCAATCCTCGGCATCGCCTTCACCTGGGGCTTGTCGGTCGAGCCTGCAGCCGTGGGGTCCGACTCGTCTCCAATCTCAATGAAACCAGTCGACTGGGGTTCCCCCACAGCGTTCTTGGCAGCAGATCCGCGCCTTGACGGCGGCGGTGTTGGCGGTTGCTTGGATGTGCTGGTGCCCTCCGTCACGGACTCAAAAGTGACCGACTCCGCGGTGATCATGGAACTCATCCCTGCCGCCTCGGAATCATCAGCTTCTGACACCATCTCCAATGATACCACCGTTTCCTGATCGAACAAGTCGCCTTCAGCGATGATAATCGACTGGCCTTCCGGCGCAGCACGGTGCACTCCTGGGGGCAGATTCGTCGCATCCCATCCAAAGTCATGGGTGTCATCGCCCAGCAAGAGCCACTTGTCTTTGTCCTCGTCGTCGGGGACCTTGGACAAGCCGTGTTTCTCCGCCGTACTGTCGATGTAGTGGGACATCGCGAGTTCCACTCGGTCAAGCTCGTCGTCGGAGTTTTCCTCACCTTTGTCGACGGCTTCAAGCACGATGTCGGATTCCTCGACCTTTGCCCCCCGCATGTCGATGGTTATGGCGTTATAGGACTCATCCTCCGCCACCTTCATCCATGCGGCCACATCGGCGTCGATTTCGTCGCCCTCCTGGTCGTGGGACCAGTCGGGCTTCTCTTCCATCGCCGCGTACTCGTGGAGCGCTTTGGCCAGCTTCAAGCATGTTGGCCAGCCAAAGAGCACCGGGTCGACCGGTTCACCTGCCACGTAGGGCTCAACCCTCCCAATGGCTGGGAGAGCGTATCTGATACGCTGGGCCAACAGCTGCGTGTTGATAGCCGCGTGAAGGAATTTCGACACAACCTTCCGGTTGGCATTGCTGTATGTCATGTGCACATCATCGTACCTGTGAGCTAGCAATGTCATAACCGATGGGTCGATCGAGTCGATCGCCTTGATGCGGGTCCCATCGTCGATGTCCCCGTTGGCCAGGTGTCGAAGGCAGCTGTTCATAGCCTCGTTGTAATCGGACGTGAGGGCATAGTCCTCGGCGTCCGGGTTGCTGATGAAGGTAATGTCTCGAATGCGTCCGAGCCCAACCGCCTCCTTGAAGAAGTCGAGCTGCTCGTACACGCGAGTCTTCTGAACCGTCGGCCACTCTGACGCGGCCTTCCGGCCCGCCTCCGTTCGGTTAAACCTTTTCTCATGGATCCATCTGCACCCCACGAAACCATAGTTGCCGAAGACATCGTTTCCTCCCCATAACACGTAAACCGAAATGGGAAGCTGTTTGATGCCCTTCTGGGAGTTGTCCTCGGCGATGAATCGCACTTTGGCCTCCATGGTGCTGTAGATAGCCTCAAGCCCCTTACCCCAATCCATGCCGTGGTAAATGTTGCGGACCCCCTTCAGCTGTTCGGCCTGAAGCAGCTCCGCCACATGGTGCTTGGTCGGGTATTTGTTGTTCGGCTCTTCGACCATGGCACAGGAAGAGTCTCCAATGACCAAAATGTCGACCACCTCTTCCGAGGGGCATGGCACGGCGCGAAACTCCGCAGGGGCGTTGCGCCCTAGGACCTGGATCAAGTCCCAATATGCCATTTCTGAGTTGCTCCCGGCTAGGGTTCCCCCCAGCATCACTCCCGGTGCCTGTTCCTGCGATGCGATAGTCCGCGTCACCGTGTCCGGCTCCGGGATGGTCGCAATCGCTGCCTGCGTTTGGAATTGCTTCATCAGCTTGTCCCATTCCACCAAATTGTAGATGGTACCCTGAATGTCGAGCTCCTTCTCCAACACGTCGTTGAGCAGGATATCAACGGAGGGCGCGAGGGACGACATCCTTAT